TCAGCTCAACCAAGCTCACAAGCATGATAGAATTTCAGGCATAATTATAACTAAATAACATTCTCAACTATTACTCACATTTCCTGCAATGTATTTCGCTATAAAATAGTCTCCAGATTCAATAGTGCCTGAAAGAAATGAAACTAATTGATCATAGCAGAAACGGTACAAAATTGTTCACCTCAAATCAGATTTGTTTAATTTTTGCCAAACCTCCTGGTGACATCTGAATTATTAAAACCACACGTGGTACATAATCTCCAAACAAAAGCATTTCCTTTCCTGCAATAACTCTGGAGTTGCATAAGCAAAACAAACATAACAAAATCAAACAACAAAACACCTTGACAGCCTGATTATTTTAAGTAGCACAAACAAAAAAGTGGCACCAACTGAAAAAAATGATTGCCTTATTCAAATGATTGCACCTGCAAAACAATAACAGTATACTGGTGACATTCATTACTGATGTCGCCAGGATTTTTTCAGGGGTAGATATCACTGTTTTCAGGGGGTAAAGTTGCCGGCGTTGGGGAGGGAAGCATTTACCTGCAGCAAACTGATACACAGTGAACAGCGGAAGGAGGTCAATTCTGAGATACTTTCAAGTAAATTGGTGATTTTTAGCTTTTTTTGTTTCCTTCAATTTATTCTTTTTTCCCCATCTGTATTTTTGAGGGAGAGGAGTGCCTTTCGTCCCTCAACCCCATGATACCTATGACCATTACCTATGTTCTTCAATCTCACCTGTAAAAGATCAGTGCTCTACACAGCAATCACAGTCCTCACGCGTGCTGATTATCACAAACAAAATAAGGAATCGCACGGCGTGCATTGTGTCGATTCTGTATCCTAAGCTTACCTTTTGTTTCGCCGTCATCCCAGAATAGCTTCCCCGTTGCCTTCTGGGAATCGTCCAGGGCAACGATCAGTCCAAATGGATTGGTGCGACTGGAAAACATAAATACATTAAATGATCACAACCATGGAAACCTGAAAATGGAACAATTTTGACAACGAGAGATCTTGCGAGATGAAAAGAAACTTTAAATTACAACATGCTACCTTTTGGGAGACGGACAAAACAGGAACATAAGGGCCTTCATTGAATTTGTTAAAAAAGAAAACATGAGTTTGTGCTATTTTTACACCTTGAAAAAAATGTAAAGAAGGTATCGACTGCTAGCTTGCCACTGGTAGCATTCTGGTCAATCATGCCAAATGAAAAAGTTTTTTCTTATGAAATTAACAAATACAAATTATATCTCAACACCTTCAGGCAAGAAGGGATTATTGGGATACCTCAGTTAAAGAAAACAAAATAAATGATTGATATGCAAACCACATTAGGCTTTAGAGGGACAGGAAGTCAAGACACTTTCTCTTACACGTGTACACTTGTAATTGTTTGTTTTTGCTTCCATCAGTTGAGCTGAGGAGGAAAAGGGCCTTTCCTCCCTCAAAGAACAGGTCACATCCAATAAACTTTTTGAAATAATTACAAGAAGCGTGGTCCTGGGAGATAATCCCCGCAACAAAAACAATTGAGTATAAAACACCCAGACATAGGCTCCTCACCTGATAAAGTCAATGAATGACAAATATTTCTTGAAATGCATTTTTCTCATGATGCTGGACAATAGCATCATTCAGGATAACTTATAACTGCATTGAACAGATCCCACTTTCCAAAGGCAAAAGTGTGAAACCTCACTCTTAAATAGAGTGAGAGTCTCTAATAAATCTACTCCAAAAGAGAGAAAAACACTCTAAAAGAGAGAAAACCACTCTAAAAAGAGTGAAAACCACTCCAAAAGAGGGAGATTTCCACTTTGCCAAGAAGCCATATTGGGGACAACTCAAGAAAAGAGTTATCCTCTTTTTGGCTCCTCTGCTTGAGTGATTTCCACTCTTTGGGAGTGATTTTCACACTTTTTGAGTTAGTTTTCACTGGTCTTTTGAAGTAGATTTATAGCAGACTCACTCTTTTTGAAGTGAGGTTTTCACTGCTTTGTCTTTAGCAACTCGAGAATGGGTCGGGTAGGGGACACTTGTGGTGGAATGGAGGGGGGCGGATCGTGAGACAACGGAGTTTGCTCTAATCACTTAGCTTGCTGGCCATCAATGCAGAGAGTGCACACATACAAACCTGTACACGGTAGAATTAGCCGGTTCCTGGGTGGGCAATATCCATCCACCCCGCACGTGAATGTTGATTTCATCCATAGGGGTGTACATGCTGACGGTCGTCTTCTCATAGCTCCGAATAACCTGGGTGCCCTGCAGGTCGAGCACATCACTGAAGTGAATGGGAAAGTCTTGCACTACAGGCTTGGCTTTATTGATTCCCCATTCAATTAAGTTTTAATTTTACATGTTTTCTAATTTGTTAAACTTGAGCTGTAAGCCTCTCTTTGATCAGCTGAACAGTTACTGTCTTGAATGTATCAGATTAAAACTCATTAGGTTTTCCGATGCTACTATTAGGGCCGAGTCAATTCGAATAATTCACTAGCCGAATATTTGACATTCAATTTGTTTGAATATCAGAATATTTGGTGGTACCAACCGGCATATTGTTGATGAACATACCATATACAAAATCAGTTGCAATAACACACACAATTGTACATTATAATCAATATAATAGCAAAATGGCTTCTCACATCTAGTAGTATCTCAAGCCATGATTGAGCAAGATTTAAGAGATGAACAAGACTTCTTTCCTGATGAAAATTTCTATTCCTTTTAAATTGTTTAATGAATAATGTACTTTTTAAATTGTTGTACGATTTTTGACACTTTTCATTTGAATCTGCTTGAAACAAGCCTCCATAGTGCAATTTTCTCATTTAAACAAAAGAAGATTTTCCTTTCCTTTTTATGAATTTGTATTCAAAAATTCAAATTCGAAAAACAATATTTAAATATTTGAAAATCAATCAAATATTCAGTTATTCAGATATTTGGCACAGCCATAGCTACCATTCATTTTTTCGTGGGTATTTTTATGATAAGTATCCTTTTCTCTTGCCTTACATACTTTTGATCTGTTTGTGTTGCAATTTTGGCTAAAACAATGCAGAACAATCCCAGTTGATCTGATGACGTGACAGAAATAAGAACCAGAAAAAGGAGACTGGCTTTATTGCAATCATGTTCCAATTAAGGTGTTTGGCAGTGAAGCTTACCGTTTGGTAGACATACCAAGGTCCTTCAGGGACATAAACTTCCACAAATTCTGTTCCCTGCGAACAACAATGTTCAAATTTTGGTTTAATTTCGACTAGCATTGTTACAATACATGGATTTTAATGCTTACTCCTCAAAAGCCTTGTGTGACATTGGTATAAACAAAAATGAAAGGTACAAGTACTGTGATGACATATGTCATTGTAGGGTGTCTCTTATTTCATGGGTCTACAACCATAAGAACTTGAAAAGTGGGTTTGATGCTAAAACTTGATGTGTCAAGTGCGCAACTAGCTTTAGATAGCAAAGATACCAATCAATATATTCTTGTCCGTTGTTTATATGATGATTATAATGATGAGATTTAAAAGCCCATTGTGCCCAATCATGTTCCCTTTCCAAAGCTGAACCTCAACTGAGAACATCATGACAAAGGACGCAATGTCTCTTAGAGATATGAAATGGAGACTGATCATGTGATTCATGCGATAAGTTTACAGTTTCAAGACCATTCCTGCAAATGACCAACAAATTCACATCTGCAAATTTACTTTCTCATCAAGTCCACGGATGTCAAAGAAACAAATGCACATAGCTCAAGGGACAGACAAGCTTGGCACACACTAGCATGTCGACAAAGAGAACCTGGTCTAGCATTGAGAGAACGGATCACAGAGAAAGGAAATTGGGAGGGAAGGGGAGAAGATACTGGAGTGCTTAAACTTTTACCTCATCCAAAACTGGGCTGATGAGGAGGGCAGGCCCCCACAAGAATTGCCGATCAATGTCCCACGTTACACTGTCTGAGGTGAATCTGAGAAATGAATGCATAATCCGTGAGAGATGTGCTCATCACAGATATGGCCAAACAAATCATCCGAAGGCAAACATGACATATCCTCATGACAGTATCCGCCCCGAGCTCAAGTGCATGCCTCATGGTTCGCCTGTGCGGTGAGTACCAAAAAAAACATGCCCTCTTTTGTTCCACTCGAAGCGGAAAGCCAGGTTGTGGTAGGGGCAGTTTTTCACGATAATATATAACTGCTGGTGCTAATTATGAGTCATTGAAATAACCAAAATGTGGCTGATATAATCAGATCAATCAATATCAATTCCTGATCGGAGCAATTATGATAAGCACAGCTTGGACATAAATTCAGGATAAATCAAAGATGACAGATTTACACAGACAGGTCTTCCAAGGACTACACTGAACAGATTACATGCCTACAGCTGCATCAATCCAGAGGCAAACAAGTTAAATCAATCAACTTCAGTTTTTTCAGATGATGGGTAAATATGATATTCTGAGATTAGGCAAGAGAAAAAAAAATAAAGTACTTCAAAAGAAAACACTTCACAACAAAAATGTTGACAAACGACAAGTGATTTTGAAAGGGATACCGTTCATAATCCTTGTATAACACATAAAAAGGAGCAGCTTTGTTTTACTGAAAACTGAGGTATTTTAAGTCTGATACTTACTCATGCATAAGCGGTCTAACCACAGTAGATCCCATGGTGTGTGCCTCGTAGAACAAAGTGTATAAATACGGCAGCAAGGTGTAACGGATCAGAAGAACGTCTCTCACATCCTTGGCGAATTCCTCCCCAAAAGAGGCTGGATCTTGAGGCTTAGATGTACCAGAGAGTAACTTATGAAAAAGCGCATGTAATGCATGGCAGTCGTAATGTAACGAAAACTGGCATCCAACCTGGGCTGGCATGGCAGTAACTTTAATAAAGCAATCAATGGGCTTGGTAGCCTTTATATATGTCATTGTTACTGCTACTTTTGTCATCATAATTTCTCATTCGGATCACAGCTAGTGTCTTTAATGGCATTGCCACAGTCACAAATGGTTCATTGCCATTAATATTGTCACTATTCCACTCGTCCACCTTCTCAGCATTGTATAAGGCATATTTTGTCTGAACCAAAGACAACGGAACTCACTATATTATTCAAGCCGTTGTGATTTCTGGCAAAGGGGTAGAATGCCCCTAGCAGGCTCCAGCGCCGACACAAAGACTCGGTGGTGTCCTGGAAAAAGCCGCAGATGTCTGCACCGATCTAGATCCAACAAGGCATGAGAGGTTAACCCATGAAATGTTTAAATTTACAAGAATAAATATTGTTCTTTCTCCTTTGCATAGGCACTTGTTCACTCTCTTTATACATATTTTCTTTCTTATTTACTTTTGTGGTTTCTAATTTGGTGGAAATCAATCTAAGTTTGACTTGAAAAGTTCCTTAATAAAGCGACTGAATTGTGACTAATTCATAATAATGATAAAAACCATCAGCAGATACTTACGTAAGGAATACCAAACAGATTGAACTCAAGCATACCTAGATGGAACAAAATAAATATCATTTCATTGAAACGAGCATTCAAAAATATAAACACAATTGCGAACTCACAAGTTTAAAAAACCACCAAAATATTTATCTGCAAACATCAAGCTAAGTTTTCATGTGTATCAAGAGGAAACTTGATATGCCTTATGTGCTTTGCAGTGATACCTTTATAAGTTGTCAGCTTTAGAGATAATTCATGACCGGGGTTGTATGTCTTACCGATGATTGACTTGTGCATATCAGGCCACTTGCTTGTATTGTCCCCCAGCCAGTGGCCAACGTACTTGCCACTCCCTGGGTAGGTAGACCTAGAGATGACAATGCCTCGCTTGCCTGTTGCTCTTTCATTGGCGCTGTGATGCAAAGTGGCGAGACAGAGACAAACAAAAGCAATTCTTGAGCAAACAGCTACATAGAGGCTTTGCTGGAACTCAAGCCCCTCCTTCAAATCACATGACTTACTATGATTTATAGGTATTGAACAAACACAGACTCAAATTGACGAATCAATGACACCCCAATGCCAACCTGGCCAGTCACTTAAGGACACCACATCCAGAGGCAACATCTACCCACAATTCATGCCAAGTTTCTTTTCAGTTTGAAGTAGCCCTAAAAGGGACATCTTGTGCTATCTTACAGCCACGTTAGGTAATTATTTTAGTAGACAAAATTACAAAAACAAAATGACAAGTCCTATGATCGATAACAATTAACTCTAAAGAAGTCGCAGTTAGACCCCCTAGGCCTACCCATTTTATGGGATCACTGTACACTTTGTTTTCATGCCGTCTGCCCTGAACTATTTTCTCTGCAGGTTTTCATACAGATTAAATGCCCAGTAAGCCATCCAAATGTTTAAAAGTAACAATGGTTGAAGAGCTGGGGGCGCAGACAGGAGGGACACATTAATTGGGCTGGACATTTTTAAGACATAAATTGTAAAATAATATGTTGCAACAGGTATCAGCACGTGGCCACGTTCCTGTTGTTTACATATAGGGTTGAAATAACTGGCATTGCCCAACATGATTTTGTGGACGATGTTCCACTCAAAGTGAAAGGTCCCCCAAAAATCGTCAATCTTACACAAGGGAAGGTGATGACTGACTCCAACCATAGAGACTGTGCATATTGTAGTGCATGGTCTTTTCCGAAATGGTGCGATGTTGCATGGCATTCATGCAGACTGTCTTCTCAGCCAAGTTACCCCAAATTCCTGGCCATGGAAATAAAAGTGGAACTCAAATATTTGATTTGATTTAATAAGTTTCTTGTCCGAGTCTGCATTTAAAAATCTGTTTTACACTGGATTTAAAGCATAATTGTAAATATCATTGCAAAAAACTAAACATTACATCTTAACAATTGATATGTTTCAATGGACGCTCACAATAAAATCATTTCATAAACAGCAACCACAATCAATAAACAACACAAAATTAACAATGGAAATGTCATTTAGTAGTGAAATCTGTTTCTCTACTATATGCCTTATTAGCTCTGTGAAGATCTTTTGGGCTTTTGCCTAAAAGAGCATAGACTTATTGAACAAAGTTATTAGCATATCCAACCCAATAGGTTGTCACTTTTCATTGCAATTTTCTCAAAGCAGGAGCCAGAAATAAACAAATGACTGAAAACTTACTTGGACGGTATGGCGGCCTGTCGTATTTGTTGTCGGTACAACCTTCCGTTGATCCTTCGACAAAGTTTGCGGGTTCATTCATGTCCTGTAGGAACCGGATGTTTTTTCCATTTAGTTACACATGTACGTTGCTTGGGATGCCAAGTCATCTTCGTTATTAGGCTAGATTACTTGTGTGTGTTTCTGCCACTTTTTATGGCAAACCTCTGGTCCCTACTGCCTGTTTATCATCAGTGGACAGGAAACAAGCAAAGGTGAGAAGTGAACCTTCAACCTCCAGGAGACCGAACTGGCAACCCAACAGCTCTGCTGTAATGAAGTGCTGGATTTTCCAATTTCAACTAACGAACTGAGCAGGAGAAATGCATGATAATGTCTTGACACAGCCAGCTGGGCACATACTTACAATCCAGATTCCATCAAACTTGACTCGGTTGTAGAAAGCAAGAATTTGGTTGGTCCACCAATCTTGTGTGCTTTGTTTGCGGAAGTCAGGAAAAACAGCATAGGCACGGTAATTCTTTTGGAAATAAATAAAAAATAGTACAAAATACAATATAAAAACAAATGTAATTATATATCCCATCATTTTACAATTAGAAATATGTTGGCCTATATCTTAAACCAACCAGAGCCAAACCAAAGCAAAACAGAAGAAAAAACAAAACAAACTGCAAAAGGTAATAGTCTTTACAAATTGTAAGTGATAAATGATGCAAGTACATGCATCTCCTTGATGTCATGTTTTCATGGAAGTAGGCCTTCACAAATCCTAGGGTTTCTCAAAAGTTTCAGCAGATGTGAATTTGCATGAAGACATTAACACAACTGACTTAGCTGAAGCCGCGTCTGGGAAATTGTCTTGCTGTGGCTGTTGCCATGCTGTAAAACTCATTCGGGCCATGCTCTAAAATGAAATAGGCCGTACTTATGACAGTGGATGGTGATCGTTGAATTTTAGTCTGAGGCACGGATGCTTGAGAAAAGACTAGCATGCATGCGATTCGGTTCACCACCTGTGTCTTGCATGTGGCGGTGGCTGTTACCAGCTAGTCTTGTGTCAAGCACCATGCATTTTGGTGGTGTGGATCTCACATTATCACTTTGATCAACTTGACTAAAGGTTTGTGGTTATAGATGAATTATAATAAGCGATAACGTGGTCTCACCTTGACTTGATAATCCCAGTCTTGGTTTGGATCGACAACAACGCCTGGTAGATCAGGCCATACCTATCAGGGAAAAGGAAATCAGGTTCATAATTAGTTATTTTTGCAGACGCTTATTTGTTGCTGTTATTCCTGTCCCTTGCTAAAGGACAGTGCTGAACAAAATTAAGGAAAATATTTTAAATGGACACTGAAGAAATGAACAAGATAACAAAACAGAATGAATGCCTATACCAGAGAAATGACAAAGAAACAACACACCCTATCCCATCAAAAAGTCATAAATTTATTCAACAACAGATAGACAAACAGACATGCAGACCAGCGAAACACAGAAAAATGTACAGCTGGTGACCTTTCCATACAGGTCACTTTCCCCGTCTGGACCCTTGATGTAGACGTCACCGGTCACGCCCTCGTCATATGCGGGATACGACCCAGCGGTCTCGTTGGCAGCAATGGCCGGATCCTTGGGTAAGAAATGGCATAAAAATATCTCTGGAAAATAGATTCATCACAGAAATAACAAGATAGGAAATAGTTAAAGAAAATTTACGTTTTGAGTATTTATCATTTATTGAAGACAACAGACCTGGACCAAGATCGTGTGCAAAAGTGAGTATTAAAATTTCACGGTATAAACTCAGTTATACAAAGCAAGATTGACTGACATCTGGTAATTATTTCACCCATATACGAATTCTCAATCCCAAAGATCGAGTGGCAGTACCGTTTTATAAGTACTTTAAAGAAATCAGCAACCATTAAAGGGGGAAAGGCAATTTGCCCACTTCGTCGTCGTCGAATCTAGTTTTGTGTTGTTAGTAAATCATGTTTGTTCAGCCTTGCATATTCTTGGCCTCCTCTGGAAACTGTAGGTATACATGCATGGGAAATCAGCAATCACCTCATCAATCTATCAGATTCATACCAAGATAATGATGTAATGAGTGCCATTGGCTTTGAGTTCGTCCACAAAGTCCCCGAGTCCCTGGTAGTTCTGGCCGATGGTGAAATCCATCTGTCTGTCCATGTAGTCGATGTCACCATACTGTATGTCCTGCAACATATTCAAAGATTTTTCTGTTGGTATGTCTCATCAATCAACCACTTACATCCAGGTCAATGTCAATAACTATCAGGTCAGGATCATTCAAAATGGTTAGTTCTGTTTTAAGAAAAAAACTGCCAAATATCTCTCAGACAAACCTGATGGATCTATTCAGTAATCAATAACTTTACTGCTACCACTGTTAATGTTCCATACAATCGTTGTCAACACAGAAAGTATGAACTTTATGGTAATTTTGTACCAATTTGCAGCCTCCTCAACTCTCCGTCATCGTAGGCCTTATTCATTATTGTTTCTCAAATTACATCAGGCATTATTTGTCAACTGTGTTACAAATTCATTGTTGATAAAATAACAGCTCTTTCCAAAAAGGTACCATGCAGGTTCTCTCTCAAAATGAGCAGAATCTGAAACCAACCTTGATCGATACTTTTCTGGGCAAAACCTACACTTTTTCTGACTCAAAATAACTTATATTTGTCTTTTTGAGATTGTCAAATCTCTTTTTTGACCAAATTTGAATAATTAAATTTGCAGTAAGCAATTTGTGTAAATAATGCAACAGGCACCATCCCATTCGCTGTAATTATCAATCATGACTGTTGGAGTCATCATATAATTGTTTCGGTTATTACTCAATTCAAAACATTTGACAACGAAAAATTAATGTTAACAGCGAGGCATGGTTAACCTACCAATGGGATGTCATACTTGCGCATGCCTGCCACAACTTCCTTAACTCTGTCCAAAGAATTGTAACCATAGCGACAAAGCTGGAAACCAAGTGCCCAGTATGGCGGCATGTAGGGACGCCCGATTGCCTGCAGAAGTATGAACCAGGAAGATAATGTTATTACAAAGATTGTTATACAAAAGCAGAAATCTTGTGCCAGCCTAATTTGAATGATATATCAGATTACAACATTTAGCGCGACTCCCTAATAGAGTACCGAAGTGTGATGTCACTGGGAACCAGAAAGTGCAGTGCAAACGAATGGAGTACGCGCGCGTGTTGGTTCATGCGCTGGTTCTCGCGTGTATGCCTTTTACACACTAATTGTGACGTATTCACTTCGGTACTCTATTGTCTATCAAAAACAAGTACAATTTGAGGGCTGTGAATATTATGAGACTGACCACTTTGAATCACTCATCTTGTTGGATTACATATACAGAAACTTACAGATAACTGTGTTTTTTACTTTGGGAGAGTTTGATGAGTGAAGTTCTGCAAAGATTGTTGTTATTAGCTGAATAAGATATACACTGAGTAAAATTGATTATCACTAACTTGGCAGTAAAGGACTAATTGCCGAGTACAAGGCATGATTTCTGTACACTGCATAAGCATTTCAATTATGAAACCAATTATGACCCATTATTACGTAGTTGCATGTGTTAGCTAAAAAACACCTCCGCACTTTCCCGAATGCGGGACTTTCAAGTACTGCCAAAGCCAAAATTACTTTCTGGTACGGCGGAGATAGGACTTCTTCCACAGTACACCATTTTACTCACCTCTGTGTATTGCTGAACAACGTTCTCAGGAGTGGGCCCAAGGAACATATAGAAGTCCAAAATGCCTCCGATAGTATGGTAGGTCAGAGCTGGTGTAGGTTGGAATGCTACGTCTGAAAGGGAAACAGAAAGAATACTGTTTTACAACGACTTTTTTGGGGGAAGGATGTTGCATCCTGACTCTACTACTGCGGCTGCGAGGAGTCAAGAAAATTTTCTGTTTCCTAACAAATTAAAAGCTGAAAATGTTTCTCCGTCCCAGATTCAGGTCTTTTTAGCATTACTACAGTGGTTGACCTTTATTGAGATGATATACGATGAAAAAAGGTGTAGGCGGGATGCAAAATTCAATTCTTTCCACTTTTTGTAATAAGAGCCTCAATTCCTTCCACGAAATACAACAGGGCAGGGCTTGGGTCATACCCATCGCATTGCTGTTGAGTAGCAACACCCCATGGGCTTTGTAGTCTTCCTCAAGGCTCATGTAGAATGGATGGACACCGTACAGATTGGCATCACCCTGCAGAGAGAGAGAGAGAGAGAGAGAGAGAGAGAGAGAAAAGAAGAAAACCTCGTTTTTTTTCTTGGCGTCCCAACTCCCTGTTGAGGTGATTTCGAGCCCTACATACACTGATAAAGGCATTGATTTTTCGCCCAAATGGTGTCAAAGGGGAGGGGTGTTACCCTGGGGAAAATGAAAAATAAAAAGGGGACGCAAGAAATTAAAAAAAATATGAAAGGGGATGAGGAACTCATAAATTTGCTTAAAAATACCCCACTCCCCTTCCAATGTTCACTGCTGCGTGCTTCCCCAACCCCGTTTCCCCTCCCCTGGTAAAAGTGCTCCCCCCTCCCCATTTCCTTCCCAAAAAAACCTGGCAAAACCCATGTTTTTACTCCAGGCCCTTATCTGATTTTCCTGCTTTTGAGATTTTGTTTGTGTTGTAGAAAATTGTAAAAAAAAAATGATAATAATTTCTGTACATTCTTGGGTTTTCTTTTCATTATTTTCTCAGTGATGTTCCTTCTTGTGGGACACCGTGTCTTATAAGAAAAAGAAATCCGGCACAAAGTAAAACGGCTGACCCTGTACGCGTTCGTGCAACGTACACTCTTGAAAAATAGCCGTAGATTTGCAAGGTGTCCTGTCAAGGCCACCGTACTACTTACGCCCGGCGGTTGATCGCGAGAAAACATGCCCCACGATGTCCACTGGATGTTGTGGCGGAAAGACGGGTGTTCATTCTCGCCGAAACCGTAGAGATTGGAGGAGGGAAGGGTGGTGGTGATTTGAAGGAACTGATCAGAAAAGATGAGGGGGCCCAACGACGTGTCCCATCTGGCGATCAAAGGGACAATAAATACAGTCGTTCAAGATTCCGCAGCTTGCATTAACAATAGACAGATAGATCAGCAACAACTCGACAGTGCAGTATCAAGGGAACTTTCAACCAATCAGAGCCATGGACGAGACACCGCGGGAAGCGAAGACGTATATATACCCCACATGGACATTGTGCGTGAACAAGACAAGGTGCATTCTTATGTCACAGTGACTGACTTTTAATAATTATTTACGGGATTACTCATAACGATATCCCCTTATAACACGCACCCCCCAAAGGGAAATTATAGGTGAAACACTCAACTCAAGAAGGGTCTTCAAACTTCATAGCATTGCTATAGGGGACGCCGCAGATTTCAGTTGAAAAATTGATGGGCACTTAGCTCTTGATTACAGTAGGAAGAAGAAGCAATGGCAAGTAGCACCTTTGACCCTGAGTAAATTACAGCCTTATATAATTCCCGGGCAACAACGGACAACGAGCCTTCAGTGGTGTACGTACTCAACACATTATTTCCTGTCAATATTGTCACCAATGATCTCTACAACGCCCCCATAGCAACCAGTTCCTATCCCCACGTTCTTTGTTTGGTAAATAAATATTTCGGTTTTCGTTTCCGATAGTGACCTGATAGCGCACCGACTTTCAGGGTTTGTGTAGGGCGGGCTTTTCATCACTTTACGTTGCTATTTAGTTTATGGGGACTTTTATTCTGCTCTCAGTCATTTCTTTCCTCCTTTTAATTCTCTTTTTCTTTTTGTTTCGTTTTCTCAGGAGGAGCTGCCATGTACATCCTTTCCCCAACACTTTTCGCATAAACTCCGCACAAGCAGACCACTTCATTGAAAAAGACTGACATACGTACCTGAAGATACAGTTTAATTAAAGTCTGCTTAGCTCCACTTACAAAATGGTACCAGTGTCCTTCCGAGTTATTTTCAAGGTGAATGGATCTGAGGTGAAGGCTACGTGATACATCATTCTTGCTGGCTTGGTCCCAGAAGCTTGGGGCATATCCAACGGGACCTCAAACCGCTTGTTAGCAGGATCATAAAACTGAAACAAACCGGTCCCAAAAGTAATTTTATATCTCATAAAAATGGACGTCACACATCGCGTCAACGATTTGTTTTCAAATACAGGAACAATGCCTCTAAACAAAGATCTCACAAGAATGACCTGGATAATGATCGTATATCTCGTACAGACGAACTTCGGAAAAAAATCAATTTCATAAAAACAAAGTTGGAAAAATATATCCCATAAAAACGGACTATACGTAAAACTATACTCCACTTTTGGAAAAGATATGGCATTATGGAACTTTCGTAGAGGGTACCACTTCCCACAAAGCAGATCGAGGTCTTTCAAATTCGGCCGAGTACGTTCAAACAATTTATAGCTCTTCACGGAGACGACCGCGGCTTAATGTGTTTGATGTAATCCTCAATGACGACAGAACGGTTTATTTAGGGGCGTACGCATTTAACACCGTATACACCCTTGTTTGCTTGAATAAAATGTCGTCCCTTAAATAAAATAAAACAAACGTCTTATCACCCGCTGATATGCCAGGTCAATAAAGGCACTATAAACAACGTGTTATGAAACGTGATTTTTTCCGATCATTGGACCCACAGGCCTACATGCGTTCAAAATCCATCGCCTGCTGTAAGCAAGAATTGCCATCCAGCCCTAAAATGCGTTCAACAAGCAGTGGTACGTCCGACTGAACTCCGACGCTGATCCATAAGCAAGGTTGAACTTGCCACCGGGGCGAGAATCAAATAAACATTAAAACATTCCGATTGAATACTTGTTTTTGATTTCCGGATAATGGCAGCGCGGAACTTCTCTACACATTGTTTGATTTGAAAGACAGGAAGATAGTCATCATGGTTACTCTAAATGAGCAGTGATGCGTCTCAGTGGTTGTCATGAGCTTTTTGTTCCGAGAAGAGGGACAAAGGTTTCGAGATGAATAAGCAAAATGGGTAGACGTTTGTTATTATGGAGGGTGACTGAGACGATTTGTTTTGACTGACAAATTTACCCCCCCCCCAAAAAGAGTCATTTTTTTCCCTTGCTCAGTGGTTTGACGAGATTAACATTTTCTGACCCCTTGATTAAAAAGTAACGAATTTGAAGTGCCCTGGGCTCTCGTAGAGCCAAACAGGAACATTCGTAATATTCGGACACAGTAAAGGTGAGTCCAGGTAAAATATTTACGATAGCCGGAGACAGCTTGGCCTACACGAGAGGTTTGACAATTGATAATGACTCTTGGCACTACCAAGCAATTCGAGAGATAACATTATTCAACGGCTGTCTACCAGTTTGGTCAACACGATCTGTATCACCACGGTCAACATGCAATGAGGTCGAAGCCAAAGTTGCAAGAACAACTTTCATCCCCTCCCCTATTCACGCCCATACAGGCTGGGGCAGCAGAGTACAGCTGTTAATTTTTTTTTTACTTGCAGTATGGGGTTCATGGTCGAATTTACCAAAAAGGGCCGTTTTTTGTTAGGACGTCTTAAAGTCAGGGTTAGCCTCCACCCCTTCAGACCTTGGCCGTGCAGCGACATATTATACTGAAACTCATTGTAGACTATAATAGACGCGCATGTCTTGTTCACCTGTAAAGTCCTGAATCAGACGCAGCGTTTTGCAGAAAAGTATTTCAGATCATGATCTATCGAAGAGCACTTTTCCTGTCTGCAAACATCAGCAATGAGCGTATAACAGAAGTTAATTTTAACATTTCACGAGAATCGCACGTCAACATGTTAAATGTTGACGTGCGATTGTCTCCAAATGCCGATAAGACGACTTTAAAACTCATGAAAGCTCGACACGAAATCGAAGATGCAGAGCAATACGCTGCTGCGGAGTCGGCCCAGCTGCAGCAGCTCCCTTGAGGCTGATTGCATTAGGTAATCATTCATGTTATATACATGTACATGTACAGTGCCACATAAGTCAAGGCCACGTGACATGCAGCATGCACACACCAGATTTCGAATGTCTCGTCTAGCACTGAATTCTATTTCTTAGGCCTGCTTGAGTGTGCTTTCTACTTTTTCAGGGAAATGGGTGATTTCCCTCAGAAAAAGGGAGCAGAAAAAGTTAAATGAGTCATTTTAATAATGTACAAAAAGTCCAGGAATATTGTACCAGGCCCTTAACGCAACAGAGCTAATTAAATCAATTGAAATTCTTCAATATCTCACCTTAAATCGTAGCCGATATTCGGTCTGAAATTCGATGTCCAGAATGAGTCTACCGATATCAGCGTCGAAGAGGGTGGGCGTGGACGGGATTCGGTCCAGCGTGATTCGGTACCCGGACGGCGTTTCGGCCTCCTTGCCCACCATGCGGTACCCGCCGTAGTTCTTGGGGAAGAAGCACTTGGGGGCCCCCTGGTCAGCCACGGGCGCGGAGTACCGGCAACCCCTCCTGTTGCACTCCGCCTCCGTCCCCTCCTCCCATCCAGGGTGACAGTTGACCCTCATGTAGTCGTCGACTGCCTCCGTTGGGGTCGGGGGAGCCTGGGTGGGTTCGGGGCTCTGGTTTTTCAAGTAGTCAGGGTGGAAGAAGTAGGTGACGGGAACCGTCACCGCGGCCACGGCCAGCGCCGTGAGCACCACGGCTATAACAACCATACCAACTCGGCCTGATCCGCTCTTGGAGGCATAGCCATCATCAATGTCCATGCTTCCTTTCACCATCGTTTCTTCTCTGGACATTCCTCACCGAGAAATGCCACCGATTATCACACTGATTGATGGAGTGCACCTCTGTAAACTGTGGCACAACCCCCGTCGATCCCTATATAGGGCGTGTTATGATTCTCCACACGCGTACCGTGCAAAGTCTAGATCGCTATCTCGAAACATTCAAATAATGATTATGAACAAGTACGAAGACACTTGTTCCACCGGTCCAATGACAAGTTTCGATAAAACCTCTTCAGAATTTCCTTACCTGTTAAAATACAAAAGGTTTTATTTCACTTTAATTTTCTAGAGTAAAAAATAACTCATGACCTATTTGTTTAAATGAAGTAATGGGATCAGTGCAGCGCTGCGTTCACGCCGTGTCCTCCAACCCAACTTGAAGTCTGAATCCTGTACAAGTGTATGTCCTTTGAGGTCCCCTATGGAAAAGAACTTCCCCATTCAGTGCAAACCTCAGCTCAGCGGAAACAAACGTTGTACAAGGAAACCCAGGATGCGCCACAAGTTAAGGTGTGACTTCCCTTGTCTAAATAGTGATAAATAATGTCCAAACTCAACACTGAAATATTCATATATATTCCTAAAAAAAAACCACACCCGTATCAAATGCAAAAAACACACATTTTTGTTTTTATTCAGTAGTTTTTGGTGTGTTCACATCAAAAGAGAGCATTTCCATCCCTCTTGCAGAGTGGTATTGTCACCGCGATCACGGTAGGCCATCCGGGTAGTGTGTCCGGTGTGATGAGTACGCATGTCGTGTTCGAGCTGCTCGTGTGAGTTCAAAGGTTATTAGTTTATTCTATGTGGGGCGCACGTGCCCCCCGTGCACAGCGGATGCCCGCGCCTTCCCCAGGTCTCCCTCCATTTGATATCTGTGAATAATCTCTGTTGAGTTTATGTGCAGCTGCAGATTATTTTCTTGTGTGGTGCTCCCTTGAAAAAATGTGTGCAACCCGGGTGCCTCCCGGACATAAGCCCAAGTTACGCCGCTATATCTGTGGTTTGGGAATGTTGAAAATACATTTACATAACAAAATCCCACTTGATCAGACGTAGAAAAAAATCAGTCCACAATATATGTAACAGATTAAATAAATGTACCAACCCATGCAATTTGCGAAGTACGTTCTTACACCTCTCACAAAGCAATTCAGTATTATAATGAAAGTTGGATGGAGTTCTGCTAGGGCGATGACACCAGACACTCTTCAGATGACTAACTAGCTTGTCCATTCACGTTCAAATCATCTTTGGTGACTGTAGAAGAGATCTTTAGAGTTAAGAGGAATGAGCTTTTTGTGAAAATAAGAAAAAATTGAGTATCGGGTAGTCAATCAAGTATCTCGGTTTGAAAAAGGTTAACACCGGCACAAATACGCATCAGAGGCGGTATTCCCTCGTTCGCAGCTGTGAAAAGGTGGGAAGCAGATTTCAACAGAGCATGGACGTACATGGGGGGGGGGTATATATCCCCCATACTCAGACTACTGAATCACCCCTCACCCTTTTTGTGGTGAGCACAAAAATACAATAAAGCGGACTGTGAAGAATTTTCCAAACTTTCAATGACAAAAATGCGTTCAATATCACTCAAAAAAGCAAATTTTTAAAAAGCCATAAATATGCCATTCTAAATAAATATTACAGATATATATCAATATCACGCACATCGACCTCTATAAAGAGTCAAATGGTGTCACCCCCTGTCCCCCTTCCGATTTTTATATTTTCATGGATGGGCACGTCACCCCCCCCCCATCCACCATCATCCTCCATTTATCCGACACAAATTTACGCCACTATAGCAGAGGAAGAAACAGAGTTAAAGAAAAAACAATGAAAGTATAGCTGGCCTTCAACTGCCTCCCTACGGAGCACATTGATCAAGTGTACCAATTTAAATAGTGATGGACGATATAAAAACGATTGACGGTGTGTGTTGTTTACGGAACTAAAAACCAAAACACTAAGCTATTTCATGGTAAGGGGATAGAAAAATGCGACAACAGCTTTAATTAAAAATAAAATAAAATGTAAGCAAGTCCCAGCCCGCGACAACGTAAAATCGACTCAGGGTTGGAGTTCAACAACGACGTCAGTTACTAAACCCGGGAACCCAAGGACAGTGCCACAGTTTTTTAAAATACGACCCATCCCATAAAGACACAACTTGGAAACAAGGAAACAACTTACTGGACGGGAGATATAACATCGGATTTTGCACATCCGCATCGCCACTGGAGTCCAAATATTTACAAATGAAGGTATAAAATAGGATATTTCAGTTACGAACTCGTTGCTAACAGCATCGTATTTATGATTCGCACAGTGGAATCAGCCAATATTGAGTTCAGATAAACAGTGCCTGAATAAATCCATCAAATGTGATTAGTGGGTCGTTGGTGTCACGTGTCTATGAGTTGTCTTCTGCAAACACGGGTTTCTTGTTCTCGCGCTCGAACGGCGGGAACACGACTTAAGAACACTGTTCTCGGAACAGGATCACACACCAGCTCCTCGTCAGGGTTTTACAGGAACACACGGAAAAACTCGTGAGATTTTGATTTTTGAACAGCTGCAAAAAGTAGAGAGAGGGCTCCCAAATCCATGGACCATGTAGACAATGGGAAGTTTTGCAAAATTAACATTAATTATTTTCTGTAACACAGAAATGAATGTTCCTGTTATAGAAAAGAATTCAGCCCATCCAAACATTAACTCTCGAATAACGCAGCCTGCATGGACGCCGCCAGTTAGTTGCATGTTGCTTGTCACTAGCATCGCTGGTTTGTTCCCGGCGTTCGAGCGACCGACCCACGAACAACAAATCGAGCTGTTCGTGAACACATGGGAACAAACCGCCCGAACTCGGCCACTGTCTCCCGTCAATAGCGCCCTCTGCTGGTATATTAGTTGAGCGTGTTGATGAATAAACCAGCCGCTTGTTAATTGTTGTGTATAAGTCAGGTGTCCAGGTCAAGTTTATTTCAAGTCAGGTCTGTCCGGGGTACGTCATTAAGTTTTAACCAATCAGATTAGCCATCATCTCGACAAAGACCAACTTTCTAGGGGGACGGTATACTTCGGTCCCAACGGACTCGTCCCTAGCCGCTGGCAGGTTGCCACATTGACGTTATCTAGCTTACATTTTGGTGGTGTATAATTGTGAGAGGTGCGTTCACTTCACTTAGATGTTGCTTGAACATAGTTTTACTAGCTTCTCTTTGTTGTGAGGTTTGCTTTCAGGGTGAAAATGTCTCACTCCTTGTTGGTTGTTTCATTCATTAAGTATTTATGCAAATTGTGAAAAGTACATGTACCTCAGTGTTTTGCATTTTGAAAACCGGATTCATGTTTGGTAGATGCGTGTGAAAATTTAAATTCGTTGGATCGCTCAGATAGAAAGTTTATGGCATTCTGGTATTGTTAATCACCAGTTTTAAGGACTTGGAGAGTGTATTTTGCATTTCTATATTAGAAGCCCTGTGGGACAGGTTTGGACTAATTGTCACTGGTATATTTTATAGTTGGTCCAACTGATTTTCAAGTCCTTTTACACTGGGTGTCTGCGTCCTGTCATGAGACCTACATGTGTAATGCTTGGCTTCTGTTTGCATTCCGCAGTGAAACTGTGTTTATGAAGAAATGCCTTTTCTTGTTCCCTCATATTCCAGTGAGTTTAACCTCAAGTACTTTTAGAGATGGGCGTTGCTCCCACTTTTGTGTTTGCCTGTTTAAGGCTCATAGTTGTCAGAATTTTGTGGTACCTGGTTGTTTGAAGTAGCACTTTATCTTCATTGAATAGTTTTCTCTTAGGTAGAATTTTTCAAGTGTTCAGTGTACACAGTTTAAGGAAGTTGTTTCCTGTATTATACTGTACTTATTCACTTCAGCTGAACTGTGTAACCTCCTGTGAATCACGTGGAGACAAGCTGTAGATGTGACCTCATGAGAAAATCTTGATCATTTGAGAGGTTCTGATGCAGAGATGAGTCAGGTTTTGAGCAGGAGTGTTCCTACTCACGATTAATCAATGTAGTTTTTATTGCGCGCACTGTTATACATGCATAAAAAATATTTGGTTTCGTTTTGTACCACTTGGGTCGCGTGGTATTAAAGGGTTAAGGTAGCGAACATGTAGAGGGCTGGGGATTCCTCCATTATCATTAAGTTGGTAATTTGACCTTTGAAATCTGCAAGTGTGCAGGGCATGATTTTGGGCAGGTCCAAGCTGCTTGTATTTGGCTGGAAGTGGCCTGCAGTGTATTACTTCCTGGTGCAATTTGTGATACTCTTTGGGCACCATGGAGGGGGATTGCTAGAAGTTTTCAAGTCTCCTTGGTTGGCTTTTGACTTTGCATGGGGTACGCTCGGGGTTACTTCGGCCAATTTTTATCCTGGAATAATATCGGGCTAATCCTACGGAAGTATGAGGCTCCAGTCAATATTCTCTCTTGCCGTTCTTTACCCTGCCTGGCTTCGTCCTCCGATTCCCCCTTCGGTGGCGGAGGGACTGCGAACCCTGAGCCATCGGCCGGGGGCCAGACATATACATACGAAATGATCAAAGTAAAAAAAAATCAAAAAATACACAAGCCACAAATGTTTTATGCAAATGTTACCACTCCTTGGAGGAAATAAGTTGAGGCCACATTTCACATCCATTCTGCATGGACACCAAAGCTTTCGTTTATTGGTTTCAGACACCACGGGCCCCCACAGTGAGTTATAGAATTATATATTATATACCTTTTTTATATTTACAAAGTACTTTAAACAACCGAATGCACTGCATGTCCGTGCTAATCATTTTCTTTTCATAAAAACAATATAAACCAGTTGCATAATTTTAAAACCGAAAGTCACTTATTCAAAAAGCTTTTAGTTATTACTTGATGGAGGACGTGTATCTTGTTTTGCTTTACAAAAATGTGTCCAAATGTGGCGAAATCATTTTTCTGAAGTTTCAACCAAACTGAGTGACCTGTTAAATGAATTTCTTGAAAATCAACCCAAAATCAAATCGGTCGGCGTAAAATGCAAGCCTCAACATTCATACAGTGTTAAAAATAGCTGCGGATAGCATGGAAGGTTGGAGGCTTTACAAATACAAATCATACTTGCTTGAAGAAAAGCTAGATTTTTGTTTTTGGTATCAGGTTATCAAGATCAACAAACAAGTTTCAAAACATGTCTCCATACCTCACAAAATGTTATGACATCTGCAGCCGTGATTAAAAAATGTACTTCCAACGATTTCACCCAAAAGGGAACAATTATGGCTCAGGGCAACACATTTTCAACATTTACAACCCGTAAAAAAAGATGACAATAATATTCTCAACAAGACGGCAGTTCCTATCCCCCCCCATTCTTATTATCTAGTCACTGCAGCTCTTAATATTTTTTGAACTTTGACCTTGATTAAGCAAACTCTGACCTCAAGCCACAGTTACCATAGGGACAAGATACGCTTTAAACGGTGAAATCACAGGGCAAAACTCTACCTCACAAGCAGTAAAATACTGGGCCCAGTGGACCTCCACAAAGCTCACAAATCGTCATAGAGTGTCAACACTGCTAGAAATTTTTACTCCCCTCTGTAAAATTTATCTAATTATTTTCTAATAACAGTGTGGAAAGTTTGTGTTTATTTTTCTCCGTTGGTCAGTTACGTATACTACACTGGCAAGGGAACCACTGACAGCGATGAGACCGGAAAAACGATTTTTCTTTAAAAAGAATGAAATTCCAATTTTAAGGGCCTTTTTAAATCCCAGGTTGTTCTAGATTCAGCCTTATCTATCTTCTTTTGTCATACCATGTTACAGTTCCGCCAGGAAATGGGAAGATTACATCAACAAAACATGATTTTGAAACACTAGGAACACTTACCTCAAGTATGCTATCACATATAATTGCTAAGTTTGGAATATTATCTTCTTCACATACAACAGGTAAAATTGGATTTTGTTAAGAACAGAGGTACGTTAGCAATGGCTTAAGGTTAATCTGCAGTTCAACAGTGACCCAAGCACTGACAAGTTTTCATAGTCTTATTAACAATAATATACACAAAGCACATAATAGTCAATGCCATACACATGTACATTTATATACACTCTTGACGCTGTAACACATCTTGATATAATAAACCTTTGTAGAGATCTTTCTCAACGTATATTCATCTTATTATTATTATTATCATTTTGTTTTTTTTAGATATTTGCACATTTTTGTTCTGTCTGTTGGACTATAAAATGAACAGTGAAATATGTCAAAATGAAAACAAAAAGTATGAAATATGGGAATAAATATGTGTTTGGCTGGTCTCTGCTCAGGAGAATGGAGGCAACTATGGCCCGAGCAGCAGGTGAGGGCATTATTAGCATTCATTCTCCTGACCAAGCACAACTTTATTCCCATTCATAAATACCGTTTTAGTCGGAGTCAAAAGAAGTCAACATATGATGGATTTCCAAGGAGTTTTTTCAAGAGTATTACTTTCATATGCCCGAACACCCCTGTCTATTTTATGGTATATTCCTTGAGCAAGTAGTCCAGAAGAATCTCCATATATAGACTTGGCATGCATGTGACAAGTTTTGCGTGCCACGGTGCACGCAGATTCTTGACCAACAGGACTGGATTAAACTGTCTGGTATCCAGGTGCCAGCGCTGCGGACATTATCACATCGCAGTGGGCATTATCCAATGTTAAAGCATGGTCACGTTGCGCATTGTTGAATGGGGAAATTGTCTAAGGTATCTATGAATGGATGTTGAACCCTGTTGGAATTTACTGCTACACAATTGCAAATAAGCAAGGAAGAGTCCTTGTTTCACCTGCAGTACCTTATTGCTACTCATCTTAAGCTACACTGGAACAATTATCACCGTTTCTGCATTTGTTGAACAAACAGGTGATGTGTGTTCAGTAAATGCTTTGCTTACTTTGAACACGAGTGTACACGTTTTAGACATATCCAGCAGCACATTGTAACTTATCGTTAACACTTTGAAGCTTTTCTTAATTCAGGATTACTTTACAGGGGTGTACGAAGCCAGAATGAAGGT